TTTCCTTATGTTATATCCCGAATATATAAGATGGGGTGGTAGGGGAAGTGGAATATTCAAATGGCTTCAGGAAGAAATCCATTCTTCTTTGAGCCCATTTAATCCACTTCTCCGAGGCTATGGGTCCCACAATTTACACCAGAGGCGGACCCTATATATATATATATATATATATTATATATATATATATATATATATATATATATATAATATATATATATATATAATATATATATATATATTTATATATATCACAATGTCTTTCTTTGCCTAATCTCTCAGCTGCACTTTCTCAGTGTGTGTTCTCGTATTGGTGGGTATATACCCAGGAGGGCAAGGATTTCAGGACTCTTCCCTAGGGCCCATGCACTGTATGAGGCCCGAGAGTCAACCAGTCAAATACATCAATACCAAACAAAAATAAATATCCACTAATCTATGTCATTTGCAGTACTCCGTGTAAAAAAAGTGAATGCTACAGCATTTTCCTACGTTATTGTGTTGAATATTTAAAATATTGTTGATATCGGTGGGTGGTGTGGGCATTTAGGACGGCCTCCCCGGGTCCCAGTGTGGAGTGCTCCAGGTCTACCAGTCCCAATGTGGAGTGCTCCAGGTCTACCAGTCCCAATGTGGAGTGTTCCAGGTCTACCAGTCCCAGTGTGGAGTGCTCCAGGTCTCCCCGGGTCCCAGTGTGGAGTGTTCCAGGTCTACCAGTCGAAGTACTTGTGGTCACAGTCCCTGGATGAGCCACACCACTTGGTCTCCTGCAGGTTAGGGCAAGGACGGCCCCGCCGTGCGTGTCTCACCACAGTTCTCGTCCGTATCTGTAGGAAGTTCACCAACACATGTTAGCATATGTAGCATTACTAAGAATTACGGTAGTAGCAGTAGTAGTAGTAACAGGAATCGTAGTAGTGGTAGTAGTAATAGCAGTAGTAACAGCCTAAGAACTGTTATGAGAAATAGTAGTAGTATGAATGGTAATAAAAGTAGAGGTAATAACAATAATTAATTACAATAAGGAAAAATAGAAGAAGAAGAAGAAGAATTATTGCTTAAGTGATATGAGGTAAAATGAATTTCTTAATAATAACCATTCAAGTGAGATAAACTGAATGACCTCATAATCCACTCAGGCACCACTTAGCCCTCTCAGTGCCGATGCCACAGTTCTTGCTGCTGGACCACTCACCTGCTCCCCGATGCCACAGGTCTTGCTGCAGTTGGACCACTCAGACCACTCGCTAACACGACAGTCACGAGGGACGCGAGCACGGCCTGTAGAGACGTAATTCTTAAGTCTTATAATAGAAGAATCAGCCTTACCAACCCAGACAACACACTTGAAGGGAAGGCAGAGCCATACTTATTACAAACACGGATCCCTATTTAAATAGTTTTGATTATATGGTGATCGTTGATTTTAATTCATATTCTTTTTAAAAAAACATTACGACTTCACCAATATATATATATATATATATTATATATATATATATATATATATATATATATATATATATATATATATATATATATATATATATATATATTATATATATACAAGACGGGGGTTGGAAATCTTTAGCTCAAGTACTTTCACACTTCTCAGTGCGTCATCAGGAGCTGTGCAATGTTGCAAAGGTAGCAACAGGAGAAATGAGTGGAAGTGTTTTCTCAGAGTATGGTAGCGTGAGTGACTCTCGCCAGCACGGTGGAAGATATTGTACAGTGGAAGATATACAGTGAAGGTATACAGTGGAAGGTATCGTACAGTGGCAGGTATCATACAGTGAAGGTAGCACACTTACGACGCTCCGTCTTTCTACGTTGGTCCAACTTTCTTCCTGGTCCCATCTTCCTGCCTCTCCTGTTCTTCCTGTACTTCTTCTTGAACTTGTCAACGAAGGTGTTCATCAGTACATTCTTGCCGGGAGTGTCGACAGTGTTGTCGGAGGCATCAGTGGGTTCTACGTTCTCGATGGGTTCGCTGGTCTTGGGCAGGATGCTGTTACTCACTTCGTTGTCCAGGGGTTCAGCTCCCTGGGTAGTGTCAGGGGTGACGTCACCAGCCAGGTCCCTGGGGGAGTACCTCTGGGCCGACGCTCGAACCACTGACGGTGAGAACACACGAGCCAGCTCGTACTCTTTCACCTGCAGAGAACAACGGGTTACAGTACTTCTCTTGCGGCATTAGTAGAATTTGGTAATAAATTTGTTCTAAAAGTATCCACGTGACTGCAACTGACATATACCACACTGGATGCATTAGAAGAATACAAAGTAATTCGAGGAATGAATAGGAGAACTTTTCTTGCGTCTCAAAATACTTCCAAACTGCTAGTTCTAACTACCCACTTAATACCAGGTGACTGTAGAACACACTGCGTCGTATACTGTCGTCATTCATTATATAAACACACAATACAGGTTTTTATTTAAATACACCATAAAATGATAAATGCGCTCACCGTGTCCTACGATATATATATTAACACTCGTAGGTTACCTTCTCCAGGTAACCTCCAGGTATCCAATAACGTTCTCACTAATATACTCTGCTTATACCTGTACAAACATGACTTTCACGGACCTGTGTGTGTAGTGACATCATGCACACCCAGTGCACACTGCTAAAATAATCTCTCTTTGATATCCATCTTATAAGTCACCCATCGCCTTTTTCCGTTTCTTCCCGAAGTTGAGTTATCTTTGCTTGGTGAGAAACTGGTTCGCCAATACATGGTGTATTGGAGAACCAGTTATCTTTATGTGGTGGGAAGCTGGATCTCCTTTATTTGGTGGGAAAGATTCAGAAGACTGCGCACAGTCACTGGACATAGAACCAAACATCATATTTTTATTACAGTACCAAAGACATTTTCTCTTGGCGATATTTAGTTGTTGTATTACCCTGAGAGGCTCAGGGCGTTTTCACGAATATAAGAAATCAGTCTCATTATTCCCGTCACCCCTACAATTCCACATATTTCTTTTCTCTCATAATCCCCTCCATCCCTGTCCACCATAGCTCCCTTCATTACCTTGATAATATGGAAGGTGGCGATTGGAGGATGTTCTGGCACGTCCGGATAGAAGAAGGAGTTGGCCGGATGATCGGGGCTCTGAGCAGTGATGCGACTGACGGCTTTTTTAGGTATGGTGGGCCAGTTAGGGGAGGTGAAGGTGAACCCGTTGTCTGTACCTGCATCTAGGGGGTCCACCTGGCCAGGTGCACCACAAGAACCAGAGGAGAGGAGAGATTAGTCGGTGTCTTGTGAGAGACACTTGCCTAAGACATTTTTTTCATGTGTAATAGAAAACAAACTTAATTTACAAGAAATCGAGATAAATTTTAAGTTTCCGAAGGTATGTATACATGTTTGTACCTATATATACATATAGATATATACATGCACACTCTCTCTCTCTTCTCTCTCTCTCTCTCTCTCATTATATATTATATATATATATATATATATATATATATATATATATTATATATATATAATATAGAGAGAGAGAGAGAGAGAGAGAGAGAGAGAGAGAGAGTAGTGAGCAGAATTCGAACCTACAGGAGACTAATTGCAAAGAAATATTTCAGTCAGAAGGATTAGAAACCAGATCTGCAGCTGTCCACGAGCGTAACTTGTTCCTGACGCATTAATGAGTGAGTTAGACTTGTGAACAGCTGCTGATCTGGGTTCCAGTCCTACTGAGATATGTCTCTGCATTTACTTTCGCTTGCTTTCCATAAGAGGAAAATAAAATCGCAAGGATGAGGTGTAAATTATTGTGTGTTCGTTAGTGTCATGTATACGCATGGTTAAGTGTGAGTTCATGAATATATGTTTTTTTCTGTAGTTATTCTATGTTTTTACGAATATATGTACGAAGAAAGTGTGAGAGAGAGAGACAGAAAGAAGAGAGCTACTTACCTCTAGCACTACAGACTCGACCCACTTGCCCTCCACACACAGGTCGAAGCTGTCGATACCGATAAACCAGTCAGGTGATGGAACCACCCGGGAGATGAGAGACACCTGTGGAGAACACAAGCAGGTGTAGCTGCTGTATACACACACACACACACACACACACACGCTCGCGCGCGAGCGCACATACAAGGGGAAACAGCAACAAGGGGTCAAACTGTAAGTTGAAAACTCAGATGAGTCACAGGGATGTTAGAAAGTATTTCTTCAGTCACAGAGTTATCGGGAAGTGGCACTATCTGGAGAGTGATGTAGTGAAAGCAGGATCCATACATAGCTTTGAGAAGAGGTATGATTAAGCTTTTGGAGCAGGGAGAGAGTGGACCTACTAGCGACCAGCGACGAGGCGTGACCAAGAGCCGTGAATCGACCCCTGCAACCACAAATAGGTGAGTACACGCATACACACCCACACACAGTGAAGAGGCGAGGCCAGGAGCTCTCACTCGACCCCTGCACCCACAGTTAGGTGAGTACAAAAAAGTGAATACACACACACAACACACACACACAGTGAGAAGGCGGAGCCAGGAGCTGTGACTCAACCCCTGCAACCACAGTTAGATGAGTACACACACACCTTGGAGTGGTTACCATCGACGAAGCACTCAGCCTGGGTCTCTCCCACACCCTGTGTGATGGGCGGAGCGTTGAATTCGTCAAGGATACCACCTTGACCTTGACTTTGGGCATCCAACACCTCTGTCTGGCCAAGCTCGGCAAACTGTTTCAGCCCCTCAGACGCTGTTTCTCCCATACGGAACAGACGGAAGGATCCACTGTGGGAGCGACCTGTGGGAGTGGGAGAGAGAGAAATTGGTCAGTTTGTGATGGTGGAAAAGGGAGGGTCAGAGTTGTTGGCGGGAAAGGAAAGAAAGGGGGTTTATTATAAAGTAGTTAATTTGTACTCTTATTCAAAATTTCTTTCTTTACTTAATAAAAATTTCCCACACAACAAAATATTCCTACACTTATATAGAACTTTTCCCATTCGTACTAAAATTTTCCCACTTTTCTAAAAACATTTCCCACTTGCTTGGTCAAAAACTTACCAAGCATCTTAAAATATTTTGCATATTTATGTGCGGGTATTTGTGTATTGTAACCGGATAAAAACAGAAACAAGTAAACAAGCCTAAAATTCGGAGAAGTTTATGTGAAGTGAGAACGTAAGAGTTCCCCAAACTATACTAAAAGCCGGCTGAATGTATTTATTTGAAAAACATCCTTAGAGAGCCCAGGGATTTGTACAATTTTTGAAAAGCATGAGGTATAGCGCTATATGAATAAACATATAATAAAAATTAAGATAAGAGAACTGACGAAGAGAAGCAATGGAAAACTTAACCCACTCGTTATTGTATCGCTACGCAATACCACCCTCTCCACAACCATCGACTACCATCCCAAACACCCAACCATCCACCCACCCATTTTCCTTTTCCCAGACGTCTGCACCCAGACTGATACCGGAGCTCAGGCGCATGACCTGAGAGGAAAGACTGAATTTCATATAAGTAGAGAAATGAAGAGTATTTACGAGATAAAGATAATAATAAATATGTTTTTCATGACCCTGTATTTAATGTATATCAGACCTAGCGCTGAGTGTACAACACAAGCAATGAACATCATCTAAAGAAACGTACAGAAAGAAAACGTATACAGATTCCCTACGAGACTAAAGGAAACACCCATGGGAAAAAAATGAAGGCACTAAACTATATAACGCAAGAGGAAACGAGGATCAGTGACGGTATGATCACAACGAAAGCCACGATGAGAGGGGAGGACCTTGGATATTGTTAGACGCTAAAGAATAAATTAAAGGGAAGACAGATGTCACTGCATTTCTTTAGTCTGTGGGTAGTTGGGAAGTGGATAATCTGAATGAGAAAGTGGCAGTTGCAAATTCCATACACAGTTTTAGGAGAAAAACTTATAAGGGCCACGAGACCAGGAAATTAATGGGACCATAGTGAATAACTGAGAGTCAGAGCCAGGAGGAATTGTCCTCGAAGATTTGTTAAGTTATACCATGAATTAAGGAAAGATCCTGGACTTCACCTCACGAAACAAAGCAAATGTGATAATAATTATGGACAAAGTAGATTACAGTGGAAAAAATAACATATTATTAGAAAACAGGGGAAGTGACGTGCCTCTTAGTGTGTACTTTTCACACACTAAAGGTGTTCTTTTATGTGACCCTCTGGCTTAGTTTAGCTTCCAGTTTCCACTTCCGTTTCCTCGTTCTGATAACTTCAATCTCAAAGATGTGTCCTCACCTATTTGTGATTGCAGGGATCGAGTCACATCTCCTGGTCCTATGTGTGTGTGTGTGTGTGTACTCACCTAATTGTGGTTGCAGGGGTCGATACTCAGCTCCTGGCCCCGCCTCTTCACCGACTGCTACTAGGTCCTCTCTCCCCCTGCTCCATGAGCTTTATCATACCTCGCCTTAAAACTATGTATAGTTCCTGCCTCCACTACATCGCTTGTGTATGTGTGTGTGTGTGTGTGTGTGTGTGTGTGTGTGTGTGTGTGTGTGGTATGTCTTGCTCAAGATAGGGTAAAAACAATGACAACAGAGGGAGTTTGGGAATACCATCAACCATGACAGTCTTGAGAAACCCCCACAGCTGCGTCAGAGTAAGACATCACCTACGCCTTATGCAACACACCTGCTCTCCAAATACCTGTCTTCATATATTTACTGGGAAAACAAAAGACATAATCTAAAAACATGAAAATTCAATTTTACCCAGGATTGAAAAAAATAAAAAAAGCATTGAGGCTTTAAGAAGAGTGAATGTTTATATTTAACATAAGCGAACTTATAAATATTTTTATTATACTTAAGATATATATTTTGCTTTGCTCTAGTTCTTGTTCTAATTATTTTTGTTCTTCTCGTTCAGTTGTCCGTGCTTCTCGTTCAGTTGTCCGTGCTTCTCGTTCAGTTGTCCGTGCTTCTCGTTCAGTTGTCCGTGCTTCTCGTTCAGTGTCGTGCTCTCGTCATGCCCCGCTCTCGTTCATCCGTGCTTCTCGTTCAGTTTCCGTGCTTCTCGTTCAGTTGTCCGTGCTTCTCGCATTGTCCGTGCTTCTCGTTCAGTTGTCCGTGCTTCTCGTTCAGTTGTCCGTGCTTCTCGTTCAGTTGTCCGTGCTTCTCGTTCAGTTGTCCGTGCTTCTCGTTCAGTTGTCCGTGCTTCTCGTTCAGTTGTCCGTGCATCCGTTCAGTTTGTACCGTGCTTCTCGTTCAGTTGTCCGTGCTTCTCGTTCAGATGTCCGTGCTTCCGTTCAGTTGCGTCCGTGTACGTCAGTGCACCTCGCCTTTCTACGATTCAGTTGCCGTGCTTCTCGTTCAGTTGTCCTGCTTCTCGTTCATTGTCCTGTGTTCTCGTCAGTTGTCCGTGCTTCTCGTTCGTTATCCGGCTCTCGTTAAGTTGTCCGTGCTTCTCGTTCAGTTGTCGTGCTTCTCGTTCAGTTTCGTGCGTTACTTTCAGTTGTCCTTGCTTTCGTTCAGTTTCCTTGCTTCTCGTTCTTGTCGTGCTTCTCGTTCAGTTGTCTGCTTCTCGTTCAGTTGTCCGTGCTTCTCGTTCAGTTGTCCGTGCTTCTCGTTCAGTTGTCCGTGCTTCTCGTTCAGTTGTCCTTGCTTCTCGTTCAGTTGTCCTTGCTTCTCGTTCAGTTGTCCGTGCTTCTCGTTCAGTTGTCCGTGCTTCTCGTTCAGTTGTCCCTGCTTCTCGTTCAGTTGTCCGTGCTTCTCGTTCAGTTGTCCGTGCTTCTCGTTCAGTTGTCCGTGCTTCTCGTTCAGTTGTCCGTGCTTTCTCGTTCAGTTGTCCGTGCTTCTCGTTCAGTTGTCCGTGCAGATGTTTGTGCTGCTTCAGTTATCATTGCTATAACAAGGCAAACACCAGGCGGCACTTATATTACCATAATGTTTACGTACGATAATTAACACCGTGGTTCGTTAATCAGGGACAATAATTAATCTGATGCATCTCACGAGAAGCTGTCATCTATAATTAATTAATAATCTAATCTACCCGCTTTAATAATTCATACTAAGGCCTCTTGTCTTCCTGTTATACCTGGCCTCTTGGACTTTATCATGCATACTCTTTAAACTGTGTATGAAATTGGCTGTCAGCAAAATGCGTGTGAACTCATCTAGTTGCAGGGATCGAGTCACAGCTCCTGTGTGTGTGTGTGTGTGTGTGTGTGTTGTGTGTGTGTGGTGTGTGTGTGTGTGTGGTGTGTGTGTAGTGTTGTGTGTTGTGAGGGTGTGTGAGTGTGTCGAGTGTGTGTGTGTGTGAGTTGGTGTGTGAGTGTGTGTGTGTATTCACCTATACTCAAATCTGTGGTTACAGGGTCGTTCTCAGATCCTGGAGTTGCCTTAACTGCACTCGACTGAGTCACTCCTCTTAACCTCGGTGTCCTATGTACTGCTCTAAACTATGTACGGAAACTGCTCCGCTCTTTCCTTACCAAGATCATTCCACTTCTCGACCACTCTGAGAGTGAAGAAATACTTCGTAACATCCCTGTGGCACATCTGTGGCTAACTTGCAGCGGTGTTCCTGTGTTCCCGTTACTCGCTTCTCAAACAGCCTATCCTTGCCTACTTTATCAATTTTCATGAGTATTTTGTATGTTGTTATCGTGTCCCCTCCTTGTTCTTCTGCCCTTCAATGTCGTTTGCTCATACGTCTTGACTCAGGAACAAGCCTTGTTGCAGCTTCTCCACTTTCAACACTTTCCTGACATGCTTTTTCAGGCATGAGTTTCGAACAGGTGATTGTGTGTGTGTGTGTGTACTCACCTAATTGTGGTTGCAGGGGTCGAGGCTCAGCTCCTGGCCCCGCCTCTTCACTGACTGCTACTAGGTTCTCTTTCTCCCTGCTCCATGAGCTTTATCATACCTTGTCTTTAAACCATGTATAGTTCCTACGTTCCACTACATTGCTTGCCAGATTATTCCACTTCCTAACTACTCTATGACTGAAGAAATACTTCCTAACATCCCTTTGACTCATCTGACTCTTCAGTTTTCAATTGTGACCCCTTGTTTATGTGTCCCGTCTCTGGAACATCCTGTCTGTCCACCTTGTCTATTCCACGCAGTATTTTTTACGTCGTTATCATGTCTCCCCTGACCCTCCTGTCCTCCAGTGTTGTCAGACCGATTTCCCTTAACCTTACTTCATAGGACATTCCCATTAGCTCTGGAACTACCCTTGTTGCAAACCTTTGCACTTTCTCTAATTTCTTGACGTGTTTGACCAGGTGTGGGTTCCAAACTGGTGCTGCGTACTCCAGTATGGGCCTGACGTACACAGAGTATAAAGTCTTGAACGATTCCTTACTGAGGTAGCGGAACGCTGTTCTCAGGTTCGCCAAGCGCCCATATGCCGCAGCGGTTATCTGATTAAAGTGTGCTTCTGGCGATGTACTCAGTATTATACTTACTCCTAGGTCTTTCTCCTTGAGTGAGGTTTGCAGCCTTTGGCCTCCTAGCCTATACTCTGTCTGGGGTCTTCTTTGCCCTCCTCCGATCTTCATGACTTTGCATTTGGCGGGATTAAATTCCAGGACCCATTTTCTGGACCACGCATCCAGCCTGTCCAGGTCTCTTTGTAGACCTGTCTGGTCCTCGTCTAATTTAATTCTCCTCATTAACTTCACATCATCTGCAAACAGGGACACTTCTGAGTCTATCCATTCCGTCATGTCGTTCACATATAACAAGAATAGCACTGGTCCCAGGACTGACCCCTGTGGGACCCCGCTCG